TAAAATCAGCTGAAAGACATGGCAGATATATTAGCATCCTGCAGTAAATGATAAATGAGTTCCAGGAAACCCACTCTTTCTAATGCAATAATCCACTCTGCTGAATAATGCTGTTATTCTAAAGTGAATATGATCTTAGTGTTTACGTCATATTTTATGTATGACAAACTGCTTTGCAAAAAGGCTGGACGAGAAAAAGAGCATTTTATAGATTTTATACTGTTATGTACTAATAAAAAAGAAACCCATTTTGCTGTGAGAGTCAAGCAAAGAAGAGATGAGCAGTATTTAGATGTAGGAAATTTTCTTAGAAAGACTGTTATTATGAGTTAGTAGCTTTTATCTACTCTCCTGTAACAAAATGGTCAAGCTCCATATCTTAATATTGGGGTGTTCCAAAATAATTTAGACTAATTTTATTTCATTGTTTATATTGAATAAAATAAAGCTACCAGATGCTGAGATTTTTTTCTTGGACTACAGGCTCCCCAGGGCATTGGTCACAGTCCCAAGCCTGCCAGAGTTCAGGAAACATTTCGACAATGCTCTCAGGCACATGGTAGAATTTTGTGCAGAGCCATCTTGTGCAGAGCCAGGAGTTGGACTCCGTGATCTTTGTGGATTCCTTCCAACTCAGGAAATTCTGTTATTCTATGATTCTATTCAGCATAAATCTATTCTGTGATTCTATTCAGCATAATTTCTGGTGATAAACTAAAAAAGAGAATTTGGGATCCCTTATAGAAAGCTGTGGTTCCCTTCTTCTTTTTTCCCCCTTTCATCTTGTACTTCAGCACATGTGGAAACTTTGTGTTAGCTATGTAAGCATCCTTTTATTCAAATACTAATTTAACTTAGTGATTGCATTGAGAATGACCTGTGTTCTGGCATTTAATCTTTTCCATTTAGCACAGGGAACTTCTTAAAATTGATTAGCTCATAGCTCCTAAATCTTTCATAGTTTTGGCTTTTTTCTTTCCTCAGCAAGGAAGTTGCTGGTTTTAACCCTTTGCATGCACTTAGGAGAGTCCATCACCTAGCTTTTCAATATCTGTGATGTTTGAGGTTTCCTGGACTGTCATTTGGCTTTTGTAAATCATCATTCCTGTGCTTTTTTTGTCACTGATGTGTAGGCGCTACGGCCACTGAAGCAGCCTGGCAGCAGTTTGGAGGGGAGGGAGCTGGGGAGGGGAAAGGAGCAGAGAGTGTTTTTGCCAGCTATGCCAGTTGCACGGGAGAGAGGACAGAGCTGGGAGCTTTACAGCCCTGCCACCGAGCAGCCAGCTGCCCACCCACAGGCTGCTGTGGCACCCCAGACAGACAGACAGACATCTCCTAAGTGTCCGTGGGGCAGTGTGGCTCAGTGAACTGAGAGCATAATCCGTGGGGATGCAGCTGGACCTCAGCGCCTGGGGACGGTGCCTCGCAGCTGCCGACTGGGAGCACTAATCCACAGTCAGCCTGTCCTTTTCCACACTCCACTGATGGGGTGAGCGCGTTATCCTCGGAAGGGATTGACCCACAACAAAGCAGCTGAACCTGTGGGCATCACATCTGGCCAGTTTCCTTGGAGAGGCTTGGGAAGTAGGTGTTGCTTTCCCAGCCCACCCCAGGTAAGTAATCTGATCTTAAACAAAGAAGCACAGAGATGGCTGCTTTTAATTTAAAAATATGTTAAAGAAAAATAATTTTTTGTTGTTGTTTTGAAGGCATAAGGTTTGAATATTCTCATGTTCTGTGCCTCCCTTGAGCTTCTGGATCTTGGGGGTGATAATGAGGGATTTAATTCTGGGCAGCAGGTGCTGGCAGCAGGGATGTGATGCAGTGCCTGTAATCGTGTTGTCGGGTTCATTTTGCACCATCTGGGTGTGAAAGGAGCAGTCAAGCCTTTAATTGCAGTCCTTGGGCATCTGGTACCTTCCTCCTGCTGCTGGGGTTGCCGATGTGGTCAAGGAAAAAGACACTCTGTGTATCTGAGGCACATAGAGAGTTAAAGCTGGGGGGAGTGATGCCACTGCCAGCATAGCCACTGTGCTGGGGATGGGTCCCTGGGGAAGGGAATGAGAAGGCTGTTCCCACTTCCACTGTTCACCCATCACCTTTTTCTACCAGCTCAGGAGAAAAAGAAAGTTGGTCTTTCAGTTGTCTGGGCTTCCTGTTCTAAATGGATGCACTTTTCTGAACTGCAGAAAATCCCAGCTGAGGAGACGTAAAGCGGATGTGGTCACAGGGAATATGACCTGTTGTTTGAGCAGGAGCCAGGCTCATACTGTGACTGCCCTCTGGGAACAGGACCAGCACCTGCTGGAGACCTGGGCAAAGTGGGAGATAGCCCTAAAAGACCAAAAGCTGAATCAGCTCCTTGCTATGCTTTTATGTATGATCCAAGTGGTGGAAAAGACAAGAAGGCAAACTCCATTATAGCAGTGATGTGGTCACAGTCCATCACTCCAGTGTGGCAGGGCATGGCAGGAGGAGGCTCGTGATCTCAGTGTGCTGCAGTAGTGGGAAAACAATCTGAGAGACAGAGAATAATTCAACTAGGGAGTATGATTTCCAGCATTTACCTTGCATATGTTATCCAGACTTTTCCAGCCCTACATTGTTGAGGTATTACTGTCTTTCTAGAGGTGTGGTTAAGATGTGATGAGCATCATGGTTTCTGCAAACTTGCTCAGAAATACCAGTGTATCAGGAAAATGTCTCCATTGAGACTGGGATTTTTGTAGTGAATATGCAAATCTGTCAGTGACAATGATTTCACTGCATTGTTTTGTTTTTGTTTTTGTTTTTTTAATTTAAGAGGTAAGAAAATCAAGCAGGTTCTGACCAGAGATGTTTTAAGATGTCAGTGTATTGTACATGCCTCCAGCCAAAGTGTTGGCAGCCAGCTTAGGGATAAGGCTGGGGACAAACAAGTGATGGCACAGCTCACCTGGAAACTACCACTGCCCATGCAGGGGCTGGCACAGAAACACACCATCCTCTCCTGAAAAGCTCCCTGTTGTAAGGTGTGCCCTGCACTGTGTACTGGTCATGGAGGGGGGCTGTGGGGTCTGCTTCTGGGTTATGGAAGCTCCACTTTGGGATGTGATGGGAGAGTCAGGGATGTGTTGTGAGCCAGGGGCCAGGATCATGGGTACATGATGGGAGATCTGGAGGGAGGGTGGGTGTTCCACTTGCTTTGGAAGCACCACTGGAAATCAAATACTTAAGTAGGTAAGACTGAAACTTGCATTATTTGTCACAGATCAAATTACTAAGTGTAGGCCATCTGTGTTTCTTGGCACTTTGTAAATGGTTTGTACTATAATGTGTACAGCACTCTGCCAGAGGAGCAGGGTATGATGTGCTAGTGAAGGACATGAGGGTTTTTTCTTCCATCTTCCCTATTTTCCATTTTACCAGGGTACAAACCGTGTCCATCACACTGAGGGTGTGGGTGAAACCAGTCCAGTGGCACAGGGTTCAGCACCACTCCTCTGTAGTCCTATGTTATGCTGACTTTGAGGCCAAGAAACTCTTTGTCTGGTTTCTCTTAATAAATGTGCAGATATTTCCATGTTCCTCCAAACATGATTGCACTTAGAAAGGAAGTGAAAGGTGAGGAAAAGCTAACTTGAATATTTTACCTGGAAATTGCATTGCCTAATGCTTATACTTAGAAATCAAAAGTCAGTTACCTGGAGTTTTTACTGGCTTTGGCATAACTTTTTATCAACCACAGAGAAAGCAGTAACTTTTCTGTGCTTTCAAGGGCCTTTTTCTAAGATGCATGTAATATTCTTCTGCATATTGTTCACCTTGAAGGGTGTTATAAGAATTAAACCCCCTTTGAGGCGAACAATATGCAGAAGAAATAAAGCTCATAAAACATTCTAAGATTTGTTAATATAAATCACCTTAGGAGTGCAAATTAAATTATGTTGCCATCTACTTCTAAAAATTAACCTACAGTTTTAGTTGTAGCTATTCTGAGATGGATTTAAAGGATAACATAAAGGTGAAGGACTGTATTCCAGTATTGATCTTCAAGATCATCTGGACCCTGCACCTATTACTCTTCAACTATGCTGAGTGTTTTGCACTGGTGGCTGTTAAGGAGCAGTGCAGTGATATTTCAAGAGAAGAGGACAGGTAATTTGTAAATACACTGGATATCTTGAAGGTGTTTTTCCTATACTGAAACAATTAAATACTAAAGTGAGAAAAGCACAAATAAAGCTGAAATCTTCCCAAACTGGGCAGGTTCTGGATACCACAGCTCAAAGTGATCAGTGGATAAATTTTCTGTAATTATATCAGAAAACTCTTTTCAGCTCTGATGGCTTGTTGGATGGGTCAGTAAAGCCTGGGGAGACAAACATACATTTCACATGATGAGTGTTAAATCTGAATTGTTTCTGGGATCAGTGGGGAATGATGTCAGCTTGTGGGGGAGAGCATAATTTCTCAGTGACAGCAAAGATGGGTATTTCTCAATAGCAGGTTGTGATCTTTCCCAGCAGTGTCCTTGGGATGGTTCAGGGGAGGTTGTGAAGCATTTTATACTTGTGAGGGAACAGTCAGCTGCCTTTAATTGCTGACTGCACTCAATCCTTCCAGGGCAGAGGTTTGTATATTTATATCAGCAGTCAGTAACTATAACCTATTCTTGCTCTTTTGGCCAGCAGTAGTTAACCCATCCTTGGCTAATTAAGGATCAGGAAAACTGGTTGGGGGAGAGAGGACGAAAGGGGACCACAAAAACAGAAGTTAGGCTGAAAGAGAGTTAAGCTCTCAGAAAGTTTAAGGATTTTTTCCCCACCAAGGGGAATGAGGGTACATTGAAAATGTGCTACTGTCTACATCCCTCCACCTTGCAACAGAAGTGCAATGTCTTCAGGAGGTTCTGAGGAGTTTTTGATCCCCTCCTAAGCTAATGTGAAGATGAATGCTCAGGGAGGAGCTGCTCTGTTTCTGAAAGCTGGCTGACAGCTGTGTTGTTTTCTGATCCATAGGTCCAATGGATGGCATAGCAATAGCATCACTGTCCAGAGAGCTGGAATCCTTCCTCGCCTGCCTGCATGCTGCTTGAACTGATCCCAAGCCTTTGTTTTTGGACTGAAGAAACCTGAAAACCTTTCTCTCCTAATTCATGAGCCAGCAGGATGTGGTCGCCGTGCTTTCAGAACGCCTGCTTGTAGCCGCCTACAAAGGCCAAGTGGAGAATGTGGTGCAGCTTATCAACAGGGGTGCCAAGGTAGCAGTTACCAAGGTAACGAGAGAAAAACTCTTTGCAAAAGCCCTGGGAACTAATGTAACTCTTCTAGACCATTGTCTGTGAAAATGCCCTCCTAGCTTTACCAATCTGAATGTGACTGAAGTTAGTGTTCAGATTTCCTTAAAGTTTGCACTTAATAGCTCACGCAAATTTGCAATATAGTGCACGTCTTGTGTTTATACCCTTTGCAGTGGGTGCAGCTGTGATGAACGCTTAGCCCTTGCAAACACAGTGTGTCAACAGAGGGGAGCAACAGTTTTCAAAGCATGCATTGACTTTTGAACACTGTGTGACCTGATGAATGGAGTGATTCATCACTGTCAAGGGAAGGAGGTTCAGGGCACGCATCTCCCCGGGTGAGGGGACGGGTAATAGCCACCTCTTGTGGCAGGGTAAAGGGATGCAGAAAGTGTTTCTTGCTGCTGAAGTCTCTTGGTGCAACAGCCTCACTTATACCCAACCTCTTCATTGATTTGTTCTATGTAGTCCCTTAGTTCCAAACTTGGGAGTTGCAAATTGTATTCCCCATACCTTTGAGAAAAGTCAAAGTCAAAGGATTTCTGCTTAGATACAAGTTAGTTCAAAATGATATTCACCTATTCCTAATGCTCAACAGGTTATAAATAATACTATCTTAGAAAAGATGAGATGTAATTGCCTGTTGCAGAGAAAGTTTGATCAGCAAAAAACCTTAAAATAACTAGGTAAGTCAAATCTTTAGAACTGTAACATAAAATTTGGAGCGTATGTTTTGACGAACTGTTGTTTGCCATCCTAACTTCTTATATTTTTGTTTCCATATTGATTTTGAATGTTACATATGTATGGAAGCTAATATTTATTGATAGAAAGCACATTTGATAAAAAAGAGGAAAAGAATGCTTATCTGTCAGTGACAGTTGTTTTCAGTCCCTTCACAGTGTTTGAGTTGTAGATAATATATATTTTGAAAGTTGGAGTGATCCAAGGACAATCTGTATGTGTAAGTTTTGTTTTCCAAAATGAGTAGCCTCTTGCTGGTAGATACAAAGCACAGGTGTAATAAGCATGAATAGTCCCATGTGAACAGCTGTTTGGTTCTGTTGTCCAAGCAGCTCGGTAGCTGATGAACAACTATTAAAGGTGGTCAGTAATAGACCAGGAAGTACTGATTTATACATACCTGAATGGCACTCAGGGTTTTGTGGTTGTGTTTGCTTTTGTTTGTTTGTTTTCTGTTTTTTTTGGGTTTTTTTTAAGGTTATGAGCTTTATGGCTGCTGAGGGATCTCTGCTAATTACAATAAGAAACAAATAGTGTAGATTTGACTTTGAAACACAAAATCAGGTTAATTTCCTGGAGTTGACAAGTTTTTCTTTCCTATATGGCATAGGTGGCTCCCTTGCTTTGTTGTTCTGCCCTGTGTGGAAAATCAAAACAAAGCTCATTTGGCAGCAAAATTGTGGCCAGGTGCAAAGTGCTGGTGTTTCTGTGGAGACGTGCTTACCAACCATGCTGGAGAGCTTTGGGGTCTGAGATCATCCTTGTAGCTCACCAAGTACTACAGCATTCTAGCTGAAATGTTCAGCATTGTGCTGGAACTTCCAGCCCTTTTCTGGAAATTGTGGGTCATCCCTGTGGAACCCAGAGAGGGAAGATGACAAAAGCTGTCCCTGTTGAGATGAGGTACTTGGGTAGCCTGGTGACAAGCCCTGCTCAGAAGAGATGAAGTCAGATCTGTAAGACTGGAGAAGTGCACCCAGAGGAGCAGGACTGTCTCAGAGCAGCAGCCAAGGCTGTGTGTGAGGGGTGTTTTGAAGGCACACATACTGTTACTCCTCCCACACTATCAGGCAGAGAGGGCTGAGCTCAGTGCCAGCCAAGAGGTGTGAGACCAACCTGGTGCCCTCACCAGAGCCCATCCGTTCAGGCTCCATGATGTCCTGTCAGGTGTGCACAGAGTGGAGTTTGCATCTGGCTCTCACCCAGCTGCATAGGGAGAGCATGTGCATATTTGCCTACGAAAGGCTGTATAAACATACCCTGGAATAGCTTGGCCTGCTAATCTGATGACACACAAAGGCTGGAAGGAGAAAGATCTGTTTAAAGTAAAGGACAAGGTTGTCACAAGAGCAAGGATGTATAAATTAGACTCACGTATATAGAAACTGGAAATCTGGAGGGGTTTTTTAGCCATCACAGCAGCAGGATCTTGTGCAGTCTTCTTCTAAGCAAAATAAGCACAAAATAAGGACAACTTTCAGGACAGAAATTCTTAATTTTAGAATGGAAATTAGATGGCAAAATTTTTGTAGTGCAGTTAAATAGACCAAGCTTTTAGATAAACTGAAACCCAGAACCCTCTTCTCCCCCAAGATAAAACTCATTGCACAATGAAGCATAAAAATAAATCTGCCTGCCTTGGATTTGGTTTACCTGTATGTCTTCTGCTTTCATTAGTAGTTTTCAGTTTGTTCTGCCTAATTATAAATTACAAAGGTTCAATCCCAAAAAAGAAAAACATGGATTTAGTATTTGTCAACCAAACTTAATGCTGGATTCTCTGGGTTTTGTTGGAAGAAGATACATGGAGACAAAGCTCTTTGGAGGGAAAGAAAAAGTTCCCCCATCACAGCAGGCTTTAAATATCTTTCTGATCTGTATCTGTAAGCACAGACCAATTGTTGTGAATAACACTGCAGAGCCACGGATTAAAGTGCCCAGGATCTAGAGATAAATGCTAGAGTTCTTTATTCAAAAAAGATTAATTGAGCATAGCCCAAGAAAAATGAAGGATATTTTCTGTAACAAACCAAGTACTAGTAAATGCCTTATAGCTGACTTGTCCAGTTCTGGTTTCGTCCTGTTTGTAAGGTCATATGATATGGTTAATTGTTGCTTCAGTAAACAACAATTCAGCTGCAAAATAGTATTTTATTTTTGTTACTTTTGAGTAGATGGTTTCAGAAAAAAAGAGGCAGAATATGAAAGAAACAAAATCCAATGGAGAATACACATACAGATGTCCAGGTGCTGACTTCAGCATTATGGTGAGGATGCACTTGTTTCATTTGGGCAGCATTACTAGCAAGGCATCTGTGCAGGTGAAGTTAGTATGGAAATGTGCACCTTCTCTGACTCCAGTGAGGGACCCTCAGGCTCATTGCAGATTTGGGGCCTTCTAAAATATGTGAAGAGGAGCTGATGGCCACTAGGTCACACAGATGACAGCAGTCTCACATCAGGGAGCCCACAGTGGGAGAGGGCTGGTGGCACTGCGTGGCACTTGCACTGAGCACTTGTGGTGCTGGACCTCTGCCACCAGCCGTGTGGGGCTGTGGCCCAGGGCAGCTGTGGTGCTCAGCAGAGGCTTTGTGGCTCTGCTCTTCTCAAAGGGCACCTGCTTGATCAGGGTGCTCTGTTGCTGCTCTGTCTGATGTGACAAGGAGATAATTTTCATTTTTACAACTTTTTGTCTGAAATTCTTCACAGGTGTGAAATGTGTAGCTGATTCCTTTATGAAAAGGGCAAAAAATATCCCGAACAAATGGTCATACTTACCAGCTGCTCCTACAAGCAGGTGCCCTTATCAAGTACTTTGGTGAATAAGCTGCAAAAACTGGAAAACTAAGAACTTAAGTCTTGTCTAGTCTAGAAGCTAGTCCCTTCTTTCAATTCTTTTTTAGAGCTCTCTTTCAGTGAAATTATTGACAGCTGCATCTCTGGCACAAAAGCCCTGGGACATACTGCTGAGCTGATGTGCCTTGCTGTCTTCCCAGGATGTTGTTGTCCTTTTCCTGAGGGTTTTGGGTTTGCATGGCCAGGTTTGGTAGAGGGAAGGACTACAGGTGTGGTTTCTGTGAGAAGCTGCCAAAAGCTCCCCCAGGTCTGGGAAAGCCACTGCCAGGTGGCTCCAAGATGGATGTGCTGCTGGTCAAGGCTTGGCCAATGGTGGTAACCCTTCTGAAATAACTTATTTAAGAAGGAAGAAAAAAAAAGTTACAGATTGATGTTATTATAGCCAGGGAACAGCCATGAGAATATGTGAGAGGAACAACTCTGCAGACACCGAGGTCAGTGGAGGAGAAGGAGGTGGTGCTTCAGATGGTGAAGCTGAGATTCCCCTGCAGCCCACGGAGGCAGACCCATACCAGAGCAGGTGGATGCCTGAAAGACACCTGTGAATCCATGAGAAACTTGTGCAGAAGCTGGAGCAGGCCTCTGCATTGCATACCTACAAAATTGAATTCTGCAGAGTGGATGATCATTCAGAAAGAAAGCCCTAAAGAAATACAAAAGGTAGTGCTTCTGTTTTGATTCAGTAATTGATTTAACTTCTGAAGTAGTCATGTTATGAACACACCATATAGCAACACTTTTGTAATGCTGGGGTACTTTAAATCTCAACTTCAGAGCATGTTGAGTTCTTTAAAGCAGTCTCTCTATTTCTTCTTTTTTAATATAAGAGAGAAACAAAAAAAAATGTGTTTTGTTGCTTTCACATTTTTGCACTCCTTCAGTTTGAAAAGCTATTTGTGTCTGTTTTAAACAATAATAAAGATAAATTAAAAGGGACTAACAAACACTTTGGAACTTGCTGAATGCTTGTTGAGGTCAATGAGAAGCTTTCTGCTGACTTGAGTGAGCAGGTTATTCATGGAGAACAGTCCAACAAATTATCAGTGTGAACAATGTGACAGGGCTTGGATTTTACTTTCAGGCTTTCCAATAAAATGTGGACAGGCATGTTTTTTGTGAGTGCAGAACGGATGAATAAAGAACAGTCCTTGTGCATCGCCAGAGCAGGGTGAGATGGAGAGCTGGATGTACCTGCAGAAAAGTACCTACACATGCATAAACACAAGGAAAGATCATGGAGCTTACAGTGCTGAGGCTCCCTGTATGGGTTTGGTTGTGGCGTGCATACACACTGGCAGCAATGCTGGGAGGATTCTGCTTTAAGTGGTGTGTATCAGCAGCTGCCTGTCAATGTCTGGAAGTCAGAGCACAGATTTAATGCAAACAAAAACCTACCCTTGGATTTTACTGCTGAAGTTCATGTGGCTGTTTGCAGTGCTTGGCTGTGACCCCATACACCCCACAGCTACTGCAGTGTGTCACGGTGGCTGAAGTTGTAGCCTTAGTCCAATAGGTGCTATTTATTTTGTCAATAAGTCTGTGACACAGGGCCATTTGTATGATTTGTTGCCTGATGAAGCAATTGTTTACATTTGAATAGAAGTCTAAATTGCTTTTTTTTTTTACGTATGAGTGACTGCTTTATTGGTTCATTAATCCTTAGTTGTAGCAGTGTCTCATTTGTATTTGTAATAACCCCCAAAACATTACAGTTCATATTTGTCAAGGTTCACAAGCTTCTAAGTCAGTAATCTACATGTGGAACAGTCCCTGGGTTTGGTGTTGTGTCCTTGAAGTGAGCATCTAGGAGACACTCTGGTTTGTATGTTTTCTTTGCCCCTAGGTCCCTTGTGTGTATTCAGATAAACCCTCACTTTGCTGCTGCGTTGAGTGCAGAATGTCTTTATGGAGGAGACACACAGAGGGATTTTTGTCTGTCTGCCTTCATCTCTCTGCACCCTATATATTTTGGGTAGGATGAATTGCTGTGAGAGAAAAACTTGGTGGGCTGGTGTTTAGACTTAAATACATGAAGGCAAGAGCAGCCCTGACTTGCTGGTGTGGCGTGGACTTGTTCAGTGTTTGTCTCCAAAGCTTCCTCTGTTCCAAATTTGTCCTCACAGCATGAGGGGCATCTAAATTGCCTTGTTTCTTCCTCACAGCTTGTACTGGATTGGTGTGTGCATGTGTATGTACATCCATACCTGTATGCATGTGTATCTGTGTGGGGATTTGATGTTTTTCCAGGTGTTTGCCTTGCCTGCACTGGAAGAGTGTCCAGCTGTACCACCCATCTCTGCTCTCATTTTGATGTTGCTGGGAAGAAAAAGAAAATCTGGCATTGCTAGTTCTTGCAGGGTTGTGATTAATCTTGAGATGATCAGTGCTCTTCCAAAAGCCTGAGCCTCTAATCAGTATAATATGCTGGAACTGATCTTCCTTATCAGTCTCCTTTCCTGGTTAGTGTCGTAGTTTTTTTGTTTATAGTGTCCCTTTAAAGTAGGAAGAACTCAAGGACTGCATGTGTGCAAAAACTCTGGTTCCTGGGGGCCTCTCTTTTGGGTTTTCCAGTAGGTGAGATGCCTCTCAACCTATATTTCTGGATAGAGAATCTGAAACACATGAACACTCTGGAATAAAAATGATGCTTTAGTCTTCCAGCTCAACCATGCTAACAGGCATCGTTCATGTGGCAATTGCACAGGAAGGTGTATTTAGTAAGGAAAATATATCCCTTGTATTCAAATAAACTCCTATTTTGCTTTCATAGCATACTTTTAATGCAGTACCTTTAACTGCATGTCAGCATTTTTGTAGTGGTTAGAGCTGGTTATCTTATCAGAAAGTTTCCCTGCTGGAATATATATTCATGTTGTTGACACTTTCCTTTTAAAGTACATGAGCTGGCTTCAGGTTGGGTTTGTTTGGGATTTTTCCTTCTCCATGCACAGAATGCTATAAATTGTTTTCATGGTGTATTAATGACCTTCCAGAAAGTGAGATAGATGCCTGGATTAGGTGATTTATTTAATGTCATTAAAGAATATAGAAAGTCAGGACCTGTAAATCTGAATGTGCTGATTCACAGCACATATTCATAATCCAAACATACTGTCCATTGTTGGGAATGATTTGTCAATTTGGTATTTTAAAAAGAAATTATTTTATTCTTTTTTTCCCCTTTATTTCTTTTTATTCCTCTATTGCCTGGGGATTTTCTGCCCCCTACTATTGAGTTAGCTGGAACAGCAACCCTTGGCTCTTCTCCAGGCTGATGGAGAAGGAAGTGTGGTCAGTGCAGGGATTTTAGGGACCTGTGGCCAGATAGAGCCAGAGGCACCCAGGCAGGACGCTGGATGCTGTCCAGGGGCAGTGGTGACAACAAAACTGAGCCCTTCCCACGCCTTTAGCAGGACAAGAATGGAAGTTTCTCTCATGGGAATGAACTGCTGCTGCCAGCGGGGGACAACATTCAGGTTTTGATAGATCCATGTGTTAAAGTGTGAGTGAGGATTTTGTCCTCAGACCTGCCCCTTTAAGTCAATAATGTAGGATAATTGATCAACACTTAGTGTTTCTGAAGCATAGCGCAACTAATCAGTAATGGCACAAACATTTTGCACTCAGCCATTCTGTTGATTCCAACAGTGTTTTTCCTTTTTGCTGTGAAAAGGCTGAGTTAACAAGGCTTTAGCAGGTATGTGGGTATGGGGTTTGCTGTATGAAAGTCTTGAGCTTGGTTTATTACATAGTGAAGAAGTTGCTTAAAACCTCAGAGAGCCAACGGTTCCCTTCAGTATACTTCAAGCCACTAGTCAGACAGCTCTTGAAGTGTTTGCCCCTTCTGTGGGGTTAGGGCTGTTTATGCTCCTTTGCAGGATAAATCATTGGGTGGAAAAATAGACAACAACACTGATAGTGAAGATATCTAATAAATACAGGGGAAGACTTTTAATGTGACTGACCCTCACAAAATGCCTAGTGGAGAAAACCACATTCTTAGGGAAGATACTTTGTGAATTTAGCAGTTGCTGGAATCCTGTTTCCTTTACTGCCATTAAATAATCTGCAGTTAACATTTTAGCGTTGTTTCACAGATCTTAAGGTGTTTCACTCACTTTGAGATTTTAGTGAGAGAGAGATAAAAATAAGTATTGTCTAAAAAAAAACTGGCAGATCTTTAGCAAAATGAAGTTGATTGTCATACACATGAAGTTACTTGGAATGACTGTATGCCTTCCATTCCTTTTCAGGGGAGCATCTGTCATATGCAAGAGCTCAGTAATTCTTATCCCTCTTGCAAAGACAGTGCTCATTACAATATATGAATTAGACAGTTATTGCAAGTTGGCTGTACAGCGGGAAGGTGAAAGTAGTTGATAGTTCCATGCTCCAGAGGGGCAGAAACAAAAGAATCATGAATTCTGTTTAGGCATGGACACAGAACCAGATATGAATTTGTAGGGAAGAACCCTTCCTTATATGAATATAATATCCCTTTTGTAGAATGGCATTGGGATAAACTGAAATGTTGCAGAAGGTGGAGGAGAAGTTTTCAGCTTTCACAAAACCAAGGTAAAGCCTTTGTCACAATAATACATGTCAGTTGCTACTATTGCAGGTGAGGTACAGACAAAAGAATGATGAAAAGGAGATGAAACTCTATTTAACTATCATGCATAGAAATTAATCTTAAGGCTATTATTATTTTCTTCTCATTCATAGCATGGCCGGACCCCACTGCATCTTGCTGCCTACAAGGGTCATCTCCACGTGGTCCAGGTTTTGTTGAAGGCAGGTTGTGATCTGGATATTCAGGATGATGTAAGTAGATACATCAACCTTCTAACTTGGGGTGGAGGGGAAAAGGTGATTTGCAAATTACAGTAGACATTCACTTCTTTGAGGTAGGATTAAATGGAAACAAAATCTATCTATTTTCCAGTTCAGAGATGTAACCTCTATTAGAGATGCAAAAATGCATGGGAAACAATGTAAAATGTGATGGTTTTCAGTGAATAGCTTAGTCCTCCTGTTCAAGCTGTGGAGTTTTATAAGAGCTCTGCTTGTGCCAGACGGGTGTGAGAGTCGTCATCTGATGCTTCTGGTAGAAATGCACTAGGAGTTCATTGTGGGAACCTGCTGGAGAATATCAGGTAGGGGACACAACCCATTTTTGGGTTTGCCTGAAGTGGGAAATGCTTTTTCAGTAGAGACATCCCTCGGCATCCAGAACAGCTGCCCATGGCAGAGTGCTGTGCCATGGGGAGATCGTCCTGATGGCACTACACTTCATGTGGGGGCGGTCACATCTCTGAGGTTGTGTGATGAGGCATCAGAACTAAAACCAGCTTTGAATTTAGCATATGGTAGTTTGTGTTCATTTGGTAATACATAAGTTGCTGGAATTTCTTGGGTTTCTGTAAGAGAAGTTCTAATCTAGGACTGGGCTTTAAGGCGTTTTGGAGTGACAGGTAATGTGGTTTTCATTCCCTCACTGGACAAAAAAATATATATGCTGAAATGTGCAATAGCAGTTGAATAATCACAATTTCTTTAAATTAATTGCTAACTTTTAATGGCATACTGGAAGAAGTTTGAGGTAGAGTTGCTTTTGTTCTCCCTGTAATATATAAATAGGAGAGTCTTCAAAGGCCATAGAGGTCCAAAGGTGTTAGTAGTGGCAGCTGTATGACTAGTAGAAGGACACTGGAAATGTCTAGGTGCCTTTTAAAAATGCCTTTGGGCATTTGTCTGTGTCTAGAGAGTTAAAAGTCTATAGCAACTGGAAAACTGGTTTCTTTCTTTGCGTGAGTAGCTGATTCTCTGGGAGACATGAGCAGTCTGCCTGACAAGCTTGGGACTGGGGTACTGATGTGGCCAGCTTTCTTCAGGGAAGCTTTTTTTTCCAGGAAGAAAATTTGTTCCTGCACTCTTTATTCTTTCCCTTTCCCATGTGTGAAATGGAGGAGATTTGCAAGTGTAATGGGAGAATCAGTTTGTTCAGATGTATCCTGGGTATGCTTTTTCACTTCTCCCAGCAGAAATGGTCCATTAGGTATTTAAGACAAAATTGTAGATACTTTACAAATACAGCCAGTTTTCCTGAGAAAAGAAAACTGCTGCTTTAAGAAAGCAAGAGCTTCCACTGATTGGAAATGGATTGGTCAAATTGAGTTTCTGTGGAAACTGTTTTTTGAATAAGTCTGGTTCATTTGTTTTAATCATCTGGAAATAAAGTCTATGCTGTTTATATGTAAATGTGATAGCCATAATAGAAAATCAGTAAATCGGTGTTTAGCATCATTTCAGTTCAGTGAAGAGTCTTGCACTTGTAGAAATACTCAGCTTATAGAAGACCTAATGTCTTATGAGCTCCTCAGGGGCTTTGTTCACAACAATTGGATACTGCTTCTAAATGTGGTGATTAATATGGGTAAATAGTATGCCCATATTAATATGCATACTGGATTCATAGATACTTTTTCTTTAAAATGTATTTTGATGTGTAGCTCTGTATTTAGTAATAGTAGTAATGTGGTTGGGGTTGAGGAGAGCCTCAGGAGTTTCTGAATTTCAAAGGGTATTTTGGATTTGTCTTGTAGAAGGAGGAAGTCTAAAACTCCAAATGAAGATTTTTGTTTGCAATAGGTATTAACTAAAATATTTCTGATTTCCTTTTACATAGGTCTTCAAAGAAGGTTCTCTGCTTGTGGCTTCTCTTTGTATAACTCATTTTTACAGTTTATGCCCCACATAATATGTTTGTAGTCTCTTTTAGTTGCAATCTATTGATTATGCTTTCAGTCACTTCTACTCTGTGCAGCGAAGGCATCTTAGTTTCAAGTGTTGATTAAGATCTGTATGTTTCATTGCTGTTTTCCAGAAATACAAATTTAGGTTCAGATAGGAAAACACCTGTCAGAGTGGGGAGTATTATGTTTAATTGCAAAGCAAATTATTTTGTTGATTTTGGTCTATGGCATTGTTGTGATAGCACACAAAAATCAAAAACAATGGCCTACATTTTATTTTTTAAAGTAACAAGAGAAACCTAAACACTTCAGTTTTGAATTTTGATCAAATTCAAGAACAAGTTTTAATTTGCCAGATGATAAGCAGAAATTTAAAAAGCTGCTAATTGTTGTGGAGAGATTAAAATGCTCCCTTTCGTGTTCCACAGATATATTCCCTAAACACAGTAAGAGCCTTAAGAATTAGTTGAAGAATGACCTCCAGTGGCCTGGAGTGGGATTATTATGAATTTCAGCCGGTGGAGTCCAGCTCTGTAGAATATGCCACTCCAGGAGCTGACTCCTTCTTTCTCCCTGCCAATACTGACAACTCTTACTGGGATCCCAGTGCCATCTCTGAGTGGTCAGTGAGTGTCCATACAGCACACACCTCAGAAGTAGTCCAGGAGAAAATTGTCCCGGTGAAGGAAATCAAGGATGAAAAAAATAAGAGAAACCAGAAGAGAAAGGCTAGGAAGGAACCTAGAAGATCAGAAAGAGAGAAGGAGGTTAGAATTCTTGTGCATCACCCTGCCCTGCGCCTGCCGCCTGTCCCAGTGCATGCTGCGAACCCCTGGTGCAGCGCTGCGGCACGGCCGAGCTCCCTGCGCTGCATGGCTGCATCGCTGCATGGCTGCATGGCTGCATGGCTGCATGGCACCCGTGCTCTGCATCCAGTCTCCTGCCCTGTCTGCACCCTTGAGAATCTAGCTGGGAAAACAAGTTGGTTTAAAACAAAGGCCAAAGGCCCTGAAGCTTCCTTTCTGTAAGCTCCAGTTTAAGAAGCAAAAAATTAGTTTCTAATGGAACAATAGCCTAGTGTTCATGATCATTTCTAGCTGAATGGAAATGTGCAAAGTGGCTTATTCCTGTGGTCCCATTTAATTTAGGTTGCAACTTGTTTTGTTTATGATTATTTTTCATGTCTTGATCACTTCTGCTGGTCATGCATCATCATTTTTTGTGCAAGAATGAAGTTCTTAACTGCATATCATGACTGCCTCTCTATAGCAAAAGAGGAGGAGAGCAGCAGAGAGACACTGAGAAACATGATAGCATATTCAGTTCCATTTGTGTTCAGTTGCTTCAGGATATCCACATATGCTTGTATGCTCCTGCAAGTATGTAACACTTGGTTGTATTTTAACTTTAGAATGTTTTGATACTTCTGCTGTGAATTTAGTGGCTTGATTTTATATTATATGACTTTACAAGTGCTGTTCAGCACTTTGTATCAGGGATTGAAGCCATGAGTTTTTTCTGGTTGCTTTGGTTGTTTAGTTTTTGGTGGGCCAAAGTTGTGGATGATCTATCACTAGAAGTGTGTAAGGCCAGGCTGGATGGGCAACCTGGTCTAGAGGAGTGTTCCTGCTTATGGGAAGGGAGTTGGAACCGGGTGATCTTTAGGGTCCCTTCCAACCCCAACCATTCTATGATTCTATGATTTTGGTGCAATTCTCCTGCAGCAAGATAGTCTGTTGATTTCTGCAAACATAGAAGTGAGGAGGCAAAGTGTCACATGGGAGAAGAGCTTTAAAGGAGATTGTATCCAGCAACTGTTGGATGCTCTGGAGAATAGGAATGTGCAGGGGAAAATGTGGTTATAGTTTGTGTTTTTTAAATCAGAGAAAGAAAAAAATTAACATATATTACAAACTAATGTAAACCAAATCTCATTAATTTGGGTCTGCAGAGTCTGTAAGAGAGACTCCAGTAAACCAGGAGAGCTGTCAGAAGTCTACCTGAGACTGTATTGGAAGTCACTTGTGTTGTTTCATTCCCTTGGGGTCAACTTCAGATGTAAATAGATACCTGCCCAATTTCCAAGTGCCTGGTCCCCGTGGTTGCATCCACTGTTTTAAGATAGCTCATGAAGAAGCTCAGGGAGATAGTTGCAAACACCAGGACATTGAGCAAATAGCAATAGCCATGCCAACAGAAAAGTGCTAAAGGAAGGGTAATGCCAAAGTCCATGAGGAAGAATCAAGATTTAGGTGTCTGCCTTTCTTCAGGACTTCCAGCCTGTAAGCCTCTCCTGAAAGCAGATGTTTAAGCCCACTGTAAAGAGCATGGTTCCCCTCTCTTGAAATGTACCTTCTGCTGTGCAGGAGCCCTGTTACAGGTAGAGCTCTCAGATGTGCAGTCCTGCATCCTCTGCATCACTGCATGCAGATTTCTATCCCAGTCTTCGTCTTATTATCCCAATGAATAACAAGATTTTTTCCTAAAAGTGGAGAACTTTTAACACTGCAGTGCTGCTATGGCAAGACAATGGGAGCGAGCACTGCTACCTCTGGGCTACTGTGGAAAAGCCAGTGGCCACTTCCTTAACTGGCTTAATTTTGAAGGGTGGTGGCTGTACCTGCAACATGCATGGATCTTCTTCCACCAGGTGTGTGACAAGAGCACTCACAGGGCCAGAGAGAGGAGGCGAGCTGCCTGCACTAGGGCTGTGCAGGGCCAGGGTATGCTGTGCCACTGTGATGCAGTGCCCTGTACCTGTCTTGAAAACTGACCAGGGCATGGACATCTTGGAGTGGAATTTCCCAAGTCTGAGCTGCCTTCAGGCTAGGCAGAGTCTGAGGAAGAGGGTTTAAGATTCACCAGTGTAGACCTTTAGTGCCTTGCTTCTATTGAGCCTCACTTAAGTCTTTTTGGCTTTGGGCCCACATCTGCATTTGGGCAGATTGTTGTTTCTGTCAAGGTCATGTTTCTGTGACACAGCACTGGAATTGTCTCTCTTCATTGCTACTGATCTGCAGTCTGTTCCTAAGGCATAAATCCCTTGGAAACAGAATCATAAATTGTGCCCAGCATAATAGTCTGGACGGTTAATACGCATTTACCGATGTAATTGCTCTCTGAGCCTCTGGAACAGACCCCTAATGCTTTGCTAAAGACAGAATTGTAGTGAGTACTTTCAGAGACATTTATTTCAGTAATTAATAAAAGGTACACAAGTCAGTGATTACACTGCCTGAAAATTCATGCTGTGAAAAAGCCACAACTCATCTGTTTTCTTGGACTCTGTGAAAGGCAGGACAGGGATTTGCTCCACTGCTGATGAGAAGGGAAGGCAGATTAGAGTGCAGTGGTGCAGGTACTGTTATTTATAGGATGGCTGCACTCTTCACAGCTGGGTTGCTCAGTGACTGTCACACAGAAGCCATCACAACTTGGTGGTTCATCTTCCACAGCACTTTAAGCAGTTTAAAGTAACTGTTTGTGCTGAGGTGTAAGAGAACAGTGGACCAGGTGTTGCCCTGTTCTTCTGGCTGAGGGGTCTGGTGGTGGTAGGGATGGACACTCACCAGGACAATGATATATGCCCTCTCTTTACTGGGAGGTGCCTCAGTTGGTGAAACAAGGTTTGCGATATCCTTTGACACTCCATGTTACATGGATGAGGTGCTTATTTTGTCCAGTCAGGGTGTGGGCTGGACCTTACTCTTGGATAATTGTGTAGGGAAGATGTCACAACCAAAGCCCATACCTTGAGCAGGAGGCACTTGAGCCTGCCATTTGCAGGACTTGTGTCCCTTCACCTACATCTATTTCAGGGACAAAGCTTAGGCATGGCTGAAGCTGTGCCAGTGCTGCTCTGCATCCCCAGTGTATGGCCCCCCCAGGATACGGGTTGGGATTACCAAGGGGGACCTGGTCTTACAGCAGTGAGGTATGGAGCCTACTTTCCAAGCAGACAAAAGTGTTTGTGTAAAATTTAAATGAAATGCTGTTAGAAGTAGCTGTCATATCAACAAAACCCCAAAAGCTGAATAGTCTTTGATCTCATTGGAGTTACTGTGATGGGGACAGGAACAGCCTTGATTTAAACTGTCCCAGTAAGAAGATCCTTAATTACAAACCAATCCTGTACAATCCATTTCTGTCCCAAATTTGTCTTCTCCAAGCTAATTTTCCTGACTGTAAATCAGTAGGAACCAATCGTTTATTGTTCAGATTCCATCCACTTCAATGGCAGTTGCCATTTTGTTCTAGTCTGTTTTGTAATATCTTCTGTGGATTTGCTGGTGCATCAATACCACTTGGCAGGGGTAGTTTGGCAGATTACTTTTCACTTCCTGATAGTCAGATAACACGATTTTTGCACTGTCCCACAGGACTCACTATTGCAGTAACAGTAGCTGTGCCATTATCAAAAATCAGATATAAAATTCTTTCTCAGTTTGTTGGTGAGCAGATTTCCATGTAGTCATAGTAACCAGTAACTATTTGACATTTGTACTTGTGAGATGGTATCATTTGGACATTTTCCATAACATTTTGGTTGTCTTTGAATTTGGAACAAATACATAAATTCTGAGCACTTGCCATGTTGTCAATTTTCCAATACTTTTTGTTTCCACTTCCTGGAAGCTTTACTGCCTTTGCCAAAACCCTTTAAAATACATTTCCAGTCACAAGAACAAAAGTAAAAATATTTAACTTCTAGAAACAACAACAAAAAATAGATAGCAGGCTTTTAAAAAGCACCTTCAACACAATCTTTTAAAATCAGCTTCATTATTATAAGCCAATTTAATGATTTACCAGTAGGGATTACTGAAAGGTTATGGTTGGCAATACTCAGTTTTTTATAGATTAATAACTATTTTGGTGTCATTAGCACAAAAGAACCCCACCAAGAGCAATTTTTAAATCAGCTGCTAATTGCCTTTGAGAACAAATTGTTCAGAGAAGCCAGTTATCTAAAGACCTGGACATTCTAGAATAAAAAATACAGAAATTCCTCTAATTTTAGTATTTAATATAACATGCTATTATCTTATAAAGAATTTTACCAGATAAATTTTGTGTGTATTTAGGACTTGGTTTCTTGCAAGCTTTTTTAGGACCCATGGAATATCTCTGCCCTGTGTGTGTTTGTGGTGACCATCATCTAGATAAGCAGAAATGGATTGGATTCCAAATCTGTTTGTTCACCCCAGACAAGTCTGTGTGCAGCTTTGAAGCCTGTCTCTGTTCCTGGATTCAGGCTGTGCTTTGGCATTGCTGGTTCAAAGCAACTTCAAAGGAAAAAAAACCAAGATCAGTTGTTGTGGCAGCAGTGGAACTACTGCAGCTCATTTTCCATTGATCCCTGTCTTACATCCCTACACATTGCCTCATAAATCCTTTTCTTGCCTCTCTTTTATCAGGTTCTTACCAACATGTACATAAAAACATATAGGTAATCTCTGATGGGCAGGGACAGTGGTTTAAGCTTCCCTAGTCTTCAGTTTCTGGAAGGATTCTGGAAACTAACCTTGGGCTCTCTAGCTCAGCAAATGAGTTCAGCAGTGGTTAGAGAGGAGATAGATGAGCAGTCAGACAAGATGACCCCATCAGCATGATTTCTTTTGGAAAGTTTGTCTTAAAGGAATTAAACTGATGTAGGAGACGTGCTTGTTGCTGCTACATGGTGGGTCAAAGAGAAATGAAAGTCGCTTGGACCTCAAAATCACTCAGTTGCTGAGTGAAACAAGTGGATGGCCCTGCAGTTGTGGTTCTCATTGTAAAGTTGCCTCTCCTCTTAAGCATTAATTGGTAAATTCATCAGAGGTGCTGAAGAGACCGATCTCATCTCATGCTCCTTATCCTAAGCAGGGCTGATGGAGCAATCAGAGCCAGAGCAGGAGAGCCTTATCCAGTTAATGTAAGTCCTGGAGGATCATTATGATGAATTAAGACAGCCTGTAATTCCCTTTAGGTACCTTCAGACACTGATGACTATTAGACACATACAGCCAAATGTATCCAATTCACTGCCTTCTAATACTGCCATGTTTTTGGAATGCTTCAGCGCTGTATATGGGACTGTGATACTTGCAGATTTCTGTAAATGGTTTGTAGCTCTGATACTTTCAAAAACTTCATTAATCTTGGAAACTTTCATGGTATTTGTTTAGGGGGACTGATTTCAAAGGCAGCTTGGATTTAAACAGTATGTGTGTTGAAGATGCAGCCCCTGTGTGTGTTGTCTGCATTTGCATTAAGTCAAAATGAGGTGGGAATTGTTCCAATTACTAATTTGCTTCTTTTTGCAGGGTGACCAGACAGCACTGCACCGGGCTGCTGTTGTAGGGAACACCGATGTAATAGCAACTCTGATTCAAGAGGGCTGTGCTTTGGACAGACAAGACAAGGTAAGAGATGAAACAAAAGCCCTGTGGAATGGCAGCTTTGGCAGTCACTAATATTAAGGTCTCAGAGAGAAAGTTACAGTTTATATGCTCCTTAGTAAGTGTCTGATGCTTCGGGAGTAATTGGAGCAATTACATTGAAAAAAAAGCTGTACCATCTCTTTAATACAAATTACTGGTTTAGTTATACTTCTATATTAGGCTGATAGTTTTTGGTTTAAGAGTCTGTTCTCAGCTCATTAAGGGATGAATTAAAGGAATGTACAACCATACTACGCCCTACGCAAAAGACTGCACAGCTCCCATGATTATCCCAGAAACTTGAGAATCCCAGGCTGTAAGTTTAATTTAGGAGTAAATGTAACTAATTTCAAGTTCCAGATAAATAGCAATGCTTTTACCTTCTTATAAAAATAAAATAGAAAATAAGCTAGTAGGAAATGAAAATACTTTTAAAAGAGTAGGTTGGTTATACAGCCCCTAACATTTCCTCTTGTGTGTGTGCTCCTCAGGATGGGAACACTGCTCTTCATGAAGCTTGTTGGCATGGATTCAGTCAGTCTGCCAAAGTGCTTGTTAAAGCAGGAGCCAATGTTCTTGCCAAGAACAAGGTGAGACCCATGGAGGAGGAGCTTTCAGTTCTGGTCTAAGGTGGCTGATTCTCAGAACTGGAGATTTCTGGCCATGGCATTTCTCAGCAGGTGGGGGGCCAGCTCTTAGTGGGATTTTTTTCCTTCTTTTTATTTTCATTTATCATGCTTGGATGGTTCATCCACAGGCATTAGGAAATTCATATTTTGACAGCTGACTCAGGAGAAACTCAATAACGCGTTGAATGATACATTAATTACAGCTGAGGAACACTGCCATTCCTGTGGAAATCTCCATGGTGCTCTAATTTATACTGAGGAGATTCATTGTGATTGGTGTGATTTAAAATGGAAATTAATTGTACTAATAAGAAAAAGGTATTGAAAATCTGGGTTTTTTTTCCAGAAATTAAACAGCCAAAGGAATGTAAGCCACAGAGGGAAACAAAAAAGGTGCCTTTTGTTACTAAGTTTTTCCTAATATATTAGCATAGTCTCTTCCCAGAATCTTGTAATGAACCTGTATTATGTTCCTTTTGGTATTTCTAATACCTTGAGAGCCATTTAGAGGAAAGAATAACAAAGTAAAGGGTTTTAGTTCCACTCTAATTGTTATAACTATGGGGCATTTCAATTCAGTAATTCAGAACTTAATGGAATAGTCCAGGGAATGGTGGTAGTAGCCCGTGGTTTGAGCAGAGTCAGGGTTTGGACAGCTGTGCAGCTGGGTTGGTCAGATCACACGGTTGGCATGGTGCCCTGCGTGACAAGAAGAGGGCTTTGGGGTTGCTTTAGGGGATCTCTGAGCATTTTTGGTAAATGTGTCTCTTAAAAAACTGAAAGGGGGCTGAGAAAAGTCTAAGATTTAGAGTAAAAAGGCATGTTGCTTGGGCATAGTGTTTCTGTAGGTGCACGTGTGTATAGGCACTATAGAAGCATATATTTGTACTGTTGTGGTGACTTTGTGGTCTGCAATTTCATTGTCTTTGATATTATTTTATGTGTATTCCTTCTTTTATATTATTTCAACTACCAATTTGTACTTGCTGTAATTACTTCTGCTGTAAGGTCCATCTAGATTTTTATCAAGGGTACTTGAGTAAACTTCCTATGCTTGACTATAAGTCTTGTGAACCCTGGATATGCTTGTCTGTGTATACACATACACTGCTGTACAAAGCTGTGGGCTTAAGATGCAAGTCTGGTTATCCTGCATGCTTGAGTGCCTCAGGGAATCAGAAGATTTAGTTTACAATCTAGTTTATGTCAACTGGAGGCAACCTCTCTGGGAAAGTATGTGCACAAAATAATTCAGCAGGGCTGCTGGCTGAAATATGACTGGCAAACTTAAATACTGCCTAAGCAGCTAGTCTTTGATGTGTTACCCTTTGCATTTTACTCTTTGGGTGGTTTTTAATGGACAAGATATTCTCTCAGGAGGTGCTGAAAAATGTGGGAATCAGGCGTGCTTGCACGTGTTTTTACCCCTTGTTTTCAAGAAAAATGAAGAGCTTAAGTCCACTTAATCCCAAAATGGTTTCTCTGTTCTCTCAGCTTTTTGTGTTACTGATGACAAGGGCATTATCGTTCTGACAGCTTTTCTGGCAGCCAGGGTTGAGTGCTGTGTGCAGGAGCATCCCACAGGCTGGTGACTTACACCTGGTTATTGTGTGATTTTGGGTGGATGGGACAGATACAGGCTGCTGGATTTGCCAAACTTGTGAAGCACCAGAAGATGGGAAGGATTTGACACTGTGTTTTGGGTAGCTGCATTGCTCCTGCACAGTAGTCACCCTGGAGATGCAGTTTATTTTCATTTAATTTGGCTTAATAAAACCTTTTCTGCTCTGATAGATCATCCAGTGAGATCAGTTGTAGCCTTATTTTTGGATTGTTCATCAGTCTGTACATTTCAGTGAAGATTCCCAGACTGGTACAACTTGTAGACTCTCTCCCTCTCAGAAGTTGGTGAGAGATTTGTCACCCATGGAAGATGAGCCAGATGAGCCACTCTGTGAGCTCTGACCCTTGGCACTGTGAATCCTCCCAGAACTGAAGTCCTCACCTGCTGCACAGGACCTCTGCCTTCCCACCAGGGCTAACCTGCCAAACAGTAAATGGTAAAGGCATTGCAGAGGCTTTTCAGAGATAAACCTGGGAGGGAAAAAATTGACACTTAAAGACAATTTAGCTGAGAAGAGAAATGTTCATGTCTGCCACAGCTTAGAGGCTGACACACAGTCATATTCAGGTCTATAATATGGAAGTGAAGACCTAAGACCACATCTAAGAGTTGGCTTTTGTAATACAGAACCTGCACCTTTGATCTGTGTCTTGAAAGCAAGGGGGACAAATCAAAGGAAAAATCAAGGTGAACAGGCAGTGTAGTAAGTCTGGTAAACCATTTTACCTGAGGTGATTTAATTTCTAGCTCCCAAGAGCCAAAAACCCTGAATGTTTTCAGACCAACAAAAACCAAATGCTGCCAGAAAATCTTGTCAGACCTATAAAATCATTCACACTATTATAAAGACAATACCCAAGTTAACACTTCTTTGATTTCTGTCCTCTTCTGCACATTTTCTTCTCTGAGGAACCAGAGCACGTGATTCTCCGGGTCTTGCGTGGCTTTTTGCCCTCCCTTCCCATCTTGGCTAGTGACTGGTTTGCCTCCTGAACATCAAAGCTTCTTGATAGCCTAAAAACTTGCCCAATGAGAGCATCTACAGACCCAGCCAGACTTCAAGCTGGTTTGCATTACAATTATAAGGAGACAGGAATTGTGACCCTGGTCTGCTCAATACCCTGCAGCAGTCCTGGCTGGGATCAAAGATCCTGTGCCATGGCAGTTCGTTTTTTTTGTGTCTGTGCATGAAGGAAACATAAGAATTACAGTTCTTTAAATTAAATATTTAACACAGCTGTTTGAGACTAATGAATGAGACATCTTTCTAGAGTTCTTTCTTCCTGTAAACAGATTTGACCAATGCAGATATCATTATACTGTCCTATTTCTACCTTTATTATGTCCCAGGTAAGCCATTGCCAGAATGAAGTGGAGATTTCAGTCTCTGGGTTCATTCATCTCATATCTTTGGGAACACAATAGTTTCCCACCCTTGAGTGGATCTTCTTGTGAAAAGATCTGTGAGGTTTTATATTTTAATGCTTATGTCCAATATCTAAATATGGCTTTTATATTTCCCTGTATTTCTCTAAGGCAGGTAACACACCTCTTCACCTGGCTTGCCAGAATAGCCATTCCCAGAGTACTCGTGTTTTGTTACTTGGAGGATCTCGAGCAGACCTCAAAAATAATGTGAGTTTTGGAAATAACATGTTCATTTTTGTGTGACTTTGTTTTAGGTATATTGCTTATTGCTTTAACTTGTAGAAATACTCGGAAAGGCTTTAAGCATTGATTTTTATTATAAATTATATTGGAAAAAAAACCAAAAAACCCACTATCCAAACATTGTATTCACCATGCACAAGAATGCTTTTGGTAGGATTGAGTGATACACTACTTGTACCCATCTCTTGAGCAAGGATAGAAGGAGCCAGATGGAGTTTTGATGTTGCCCAGACAGTGGTGAAAGGCTTCAGATCTGCAGATCATATGTACTGTGTGTCTGACTGTCAAATGAGGTAGATTCAAGGTGGTTTCAGTTTCAGACAGCTTTCCTCCTATTTTATAATGATTCTGGCCTGACAGATAAAGAAAAAAAAAAAACAATCTACAAAAGGAAGTCAGATATTTTTGCCCTGCTTGATAACTTGATAACAAAGTGGACAGAGAAATGGAAACCTGTGGGGTTTTGTGCACCTCTCAGGCTCAGTTGCACAAGTGCCACCCTTCATGGGAATGTTGCTCTGGCTGCCACTCATGTTTTCTACTTTATGTGGAACCCTAAGTTGAGATTCCAAATTACATTGGGTTGTGGTTAAGAAGAACAGATTTATTGGGAAAATATAACTAACCCAGGATTTGTAGTGCCAGTAAAATAGCATTTTATTTTTCCAGTATTTCCCATCAGTGGTTAAAGAATTCATGCTCTCATCTTGCCTGACCCCAGCTCTTGCTAAACTTTCCCACCCATGATTTTGTACTGCAGAGAAGACAGCATTGCTGTTCTGTGGAGGTGTGTGGTGTTTACTGCTCTTTCTGATTTAACAGGATTATTTCATCCCTGAACATCATGACAAGTACAGCTTTCTCACAGTGATTACATGCTCAGAGCTTTGTTTCTGTTTGCAGGCAGGAGATACCTGTCTGCATGTGGCTGCTCGTTATAATCACTTGCCCATCATTAGGGTGCTGCTCAGTGCTTTCTGTTCTGTCCATGAAAAGAACCAGGTCAGTGCATGAACCTCATTGTGACTCTGTGCCCTTTGCATATGGCCAGTTGTTGGGAAGAGGAATTCCTACCCAAGAAATCCTGCTTCACACTGTGTTCCACTATGCCACCAAATGCCTCAGCTTTTAAGAATAGCCTTAAAGTAATGGCATATCGGTGGTTTATTACTTTGCCATCACATTTGCATTATTTCTTTAAAGCATTGCTTATTTATGAGGTGATTTAATGATCTTATAGCCATTACAGAGACATTGTGAAGCACAACTCACTGACATTTAGATGCTACTAAAGTGCAAATTCCTCTGGAATACTTTTCTTTGATGCATTGTGCAGTAGGAGGAATTAAGAGGACATAAAAGTGAAGAAAAGCATGCTCTAAATTCAAAGTAATGATCAGTCTAGCCTAAGATTAATCATCCATAGTTGTTTTATAGGGAAGTAATTGATTGCTGTACCTATAGCATAGCCTAATTGGGTAGTAGAAGGGAATGAAATTAGTACATTAAAATGTTTTAAATCAGCTAAATAAACGTATTACGTGGTGCTTAACCATGTTTTCTCATGTTCCTGGGAAATCTTCCATGTGTAGTTGAGGATCATAAAGATGTTTTCTGAACTGTACATTTAATGTTCTTTTTTCACTATGAGATATTATAGCAAACAAAATGGGTTTCAGCATGTTAAATTTACTATGTAATTTTACTTGGAAATGAGTTTTTTAACTTGCAAAATGAGCTACTGAACATTAAGATCAACTGGTGTGAACCTGGCCCAGAGAAACATCCCTTTCCCTCACTCCCCAGCACTACCTGAAGTTATTCCATACTTGCCCATAGAATTATTTGATTTATGAGTACACCTCATCTAAGTTAGCAACAGGCACTAGTCCTGAGGAAATCTAATTTTATGAAGGCAAAATGCAAGACCAGGGGGACAGGAGTGCATAGGATATTATACACACACGTCTGGTCCCATTTGAATGATTGCTGGCTCTGTTACCAGTGCCCAAATCTGATCATGGCTGTCTTCACCTCACTGCACCAGGACAAGGGCAGGGCAGTGTGTTAGTGCTGGACCCAGATTGCCTCCTGGCTCTGATCCAAAATCCATTCTTCCTGAGGAAACCTGTGAAGAGCATGCCAACCATCTCACTGCCAGTATTTCTGAGTAATGTGATACATGACCACCTGCACACCAAATAATCAAACCTGGGGGAAAAAAAAAAGGGAAGGTTGTAGTGGGAAAACTTGTTCTACCCTCAGATGTCATATCCATTTACTGCAGGTAGAGCTGGGCTGTCTCCAAGCTGCATCATGTGTCACTTAGTTTAGGTAAATCAGATCACCAGCACCCCAGCTGCATTCCTCAAACCCAGACTGAAGTAGCTCTTTGCCCCCACCTGTCATCTTCCTCCCCACTCAGTCATTATTTATTGACCAGGCCTTATTTAAGCTTAGTTGTTCCATCAGTAAGTCAAGGTTTTTTCATCTCTGAGCATCTTTTAAGAAGGTGTGAATTCTGTAGTGTGAGGCCCAAGGGGTCACAAGTTTGTTTTCTGCTTTCTGACTTGCAGGCAGGGGATACTGCACTCCATGTAGCTGCTGCTCTAAATCACAAGAAGGTGGTGAAGCTCTTGCTGGAGGCAGGGGCTGATGCATCCGTTGTCAACAATGTAAGCAAGACACAGAGTTTCTTTGGTATTTTATATTAATGTAGAGTCTCTCCAATGTTCCTCATAGGCTTAGTAAAAAATACTTGGTTGTGAAGTGTTGAATTATATCTGGGTAAATTAATGCAATTAGTCACTTACTCTTGCACACTTGGTTGGAGAAATTTCATGTTTCCAGTAGCTTGTGTTTTGAAGAAAATGCTGTTTTCTTTTTTCTCTCAGGCAGGCCAGACCCCTCTAGAGGTTGCCAGGCAGCACAATAACCCCGAGGTTGCGCTCCTGCTCACTAAAGCATCACAGGTACATTACACATCTTTCCCCAACACACACATATACACATGGAGCTGAGCCACTTAATCTTGGGAGGCTGCATCCCCTGCTCCTTGTCTTCTGCTGGCATTTTGGGCTGGGCTCAGGTTTATTGACATAGCCTTTCAGCCCCCAAGGCGATGAAGGTGCGCAGAAGTGTTGTCAGAGGTCTTTGTGTCCTGACTGGCAGAGGGTGGTGCAGTCAGAGGCACTTGTTCCCTGCAGTGGCCCAGAAAGTTGCCCTGTACCCTGAAGCTCCTGAGTTGTGTCACTCTGCTGGCTGCCTCAGGCATATCCCATCCCCAGAAGGGTGGTTAGCACTGGAGGATGCTTTGCAATGAGGACAAAATGTGTATGTCCTGTTTATACTTTGCAGCTGTGTGTGAAATGCTGCAATGCTCTTCAGGCCAGAAGGCAGGAGGGCGGGAGACCAGGCACAATCCTTGCCCTCCTCTTCCTTCTCACCTCTGCATGAAAAGGGCTGGGCTTGGCTTGGGAACCAGCCCAAGGACAGCAAAGGAGGTGCTCACCTTTCTAGGGGACAGCAGAGTGCCCCAACAGACTGAACTCAGTGCTGGTGTGTTTTCACAGCCATAAACACCCAAGCTGTTTGGCTCATCAGCGTCCATCTGGCAGTGCACTCTCTTTTATCTGCTACCTTTCAGACAAGGAAAAGTTATTCTCTATTATTTCTCTTCTGTGGTAGGAAGGAGCATGACATCACTGAGTAACAGTGTGGTCTGTCTTCAGGTCTCGCGTTTTAACCGTGGGAGGAGCCTGAGGAAGAAGAGAGAGAGACTGAAGGAGGAAAGGAGGGCTCAGTCGGTGCCACGGGATGAAGTGGTACAGAGCAAGGTAAAGCCTGGCATTGACAGCTGGATCTGCTGTAAGGAGGGACTGACAGGAAAACCCATTAAAGATTCAGTCTATTTGGAGCCATCACTATGCATGGCCCCAGTAGCTGCTTGAGGCAGTCTGTCATGCTCTGCTGCTAAAGCATTTCCCACTCACATGTGCAGAGCAGCTTAAAGCTGGGCAATTGAAGAAGAGGCTCCTTTTCTCCATCTCTGCAACTGCTCTGAACTCCCTGTCTTTGCTTCAAGCAGGGCAGTGTCTCAGCTGCTGATGACACACCAAGCAGCGACCAGCCCCCAGAGAGGAAGAACAATCTGAAGGATAAACCCCGGTCAGCCTCACCAGATCCCAAAGGAAAAAAGAGCAAAAAGAAAAAGCCAAAGGAAAAGGTATCAGTAGATTTAAAACAGCAGAGAGAAAGCAGGGATAGATAGGAAATTGCTGTTCAGAAGTGGTGTGGGTCCCTTTAGGGTCTTGGGGCAGCAACCTCATCATGCTCCTGGAGCAGACAGTTTTCATATAAAAGTGATTTTTGCTGTAACTATCACAATGGATTTGTCCTATTTCCACCAGGAATAATTTAGGAAAGGCAAAACACTGTTTTTATATTATGCAGGTTTCAGCACTCTCGGACCCCATCTCCCCAGCTGATCAGCAGACACTCCCCCAGCCCCAGAAGAACGTGCCTAAGCGCAGAAGTAAACACCACTGCTCTTCTCCACCCCCTCCCCACGAGGTCCGAGCCTACCAGCTCTACACGCTCTACCGAGGAAAGGACGGGAAGGTGATGCAGGTGAGCCACTGCCCTCACAGAGGGAGACATTGCAAGCAGCCTGTGGAGCTGGGACACGGGTAATGGATAGAAAATATGCTTTACTAACTGCACTCTCAGGGGCATGAAATTGTGACTTGGGATTGATTTTCCTTGCTTGGGCTTCAGCTGCATTTTGGCCTGAAGTCTGGCAAACAATAAGCTGGTTTTGTGCCTGTTCAAGAAGATATACTTAAGTAGTTTTGATCTGCAAAGATAAGGGGTAAACAGTGATTGGAAATGACATGAGAACTTTCATTATATACTTTGGAACATTAAGAGTTCTGACAGGAGAAAGAAATCTTCCAAGGAAAAGCAGCGTGTAAGCACCAAAAGCTTACTACCTAAGCCAAGAGGCTGAGTAAGCTCAATAGATTTTGTTCCAATTCTTTCTGGGTTTTGCAACATGTCTTTGGGTATTCTGTATTTACTGGGGGCAGGATTTCTATAGAAACTGGTAAACAAATAAACCTGGAGCTGCCAGGCCATGTGCATTTATTCCAGTTCAAAGAATAATATTTTAGTCACTTTATTATACAATTCATTACCAGTAGACATTTATAGAAAAGCATAAAAACAGTCATTAAATTATCCTGTAGACACTGTAAACATCTGTATTGTTGTTTTCTTAATATTGCCCTCCTGTTCTCCTGGAAGATCTATCCTTTAATTTCCTTCGCTTCTTGCATCCATCCACCCATCAGTTCTCATCAGTCCCTTCCTGTAGTTCAGAATTTCAGCAGACTCTGAAGACGTCAGACTTCTAAGGTTTTACTGGCTGTTTACTGCTTTCCAACCTCTCCATTTAATGTTTGAGAAATCCAGACAGGGGCACTATGGAATTATACTATAGCAGACATCAGGAAGGCTGGCGGACTTTCATACATTAAAGGCACAAAGGAGCAGAGAGGTGCAGAAGGACTTGGGGAGTAGAGAAGTGCAGAAAGCAGACAGGACTTGTATACAAATATTATCTATTCACAAAGATTAGCTTAATAGAGCTAGACTCCCATACAGTATTTACTGAAATACATGACACTCCTCTCTCCTTTTCTATTTTGCTTGTCTGTCTTCTTTGATCCCCTTAGGCCATGAATAGCAAACATAATTTCTGAAGTACATGTACTTCTGAAGCTTTCTTTAGTACTCAGAAAACCACCCACCTTTCTGTGCCAAGGGAATAACCCCCAATTTATGAAACATTGCTGTGGGGCTAAAGAAGAGAGGGAGGCTCCTCTGCCGACAGATTCAGAGCAGCTCCTTTGAGCTACTGGCACAGCCCCTGAAGGAGCCACTTTCTGCCTTTGAGCTACAGAGGAAGCTGATGAGGTTTAGCTCCTTGCTTAAGGGAGCCTTTTGTGCCCATCTCCCCGAGATTTAAATGTGGTCAGTGCAGCTGCCCTTGCAGAGGGGCCATGGGATGGTGCCACATGAGTCAAAGGCAGGCAGAGGAGTGCCCAGCAGTTGAATGCCAGGAGGGTGAGAGCAAACAAAAGCAGCGAGGCCTTGCCATCCAGTACTGAAAAAGGACAGAGCATAGGATTGGCATTAGGCTAAAAAGCAAATGCACACAACCCACGCCCATCCACAAAATCAAATGTTTACAACTGAGAATTACAGTATTGAGACATGGGGTATAGGCCTGTGATGTGGTATTCCATCAGCCAGCACACAGGGTCTGAGCTCAGTGCTGCTTGTAGCCCCAGTGAAATCAACACTGCTGTGTTAGTGTGTGTGACACATCAAATCAATCCCTGTGTAGGCTGTGCTTTTTAACTAACAGCCCATTTGCTGAGCTGCTGTCAGGAGAACACGGGATAGAAGAATCCAAGACTGAAGGAGGCTGTGATATGTTCCAAGTGTTCTAAGAGGGTGCTGGGGTGTAACAAGTAAATGTCTCATCATCACTCCTTTCAGGCACCCATAAATGGATGTCGTTGTGAGCCCCTGATAAATAAACTGGAGAATCAGCTGGAGGCAACAGTGGAAGAGATAAAAGCTGAACTTGGGACAGTACAAGATAAAATGAATATTAAGCTGGGCCAGATGGAAAGCAAAACTCAACATCAAGTAAGAACATGACGTGAAGTTCTGCTTGCCTATGATTTAGAAATATATCCTAAACTTAAATAATATTTTCATCGTAATGATTAATTTTTTGCTTCTTGTGTTGTAAAAGCAAACCTGAACTCTAATACTCAAGTCCAGGGAACTGTGACATTCCACTGGGAACTGATGTTGCAAACTAGGGTCTTGAGAAAAAACACATTTAATGTGTTAAGTGGCTTCTAGTGCTTCTTTGGACAACAAATCTTAAAAGGCTTGAGCCAATAAGAGGGAAAGAAGGCTGGTCTATGACTGATCATTTCATAATTGTCAAAATCCGTCTTGCTGAATTATGTATGCATTGAGATTCAAGATCCTCTAAATTACTTTTTGTTTTTAATTTAATAGTTGTTCATTGGTAATTTTGTGACTGAGCCTCTTTGCAAGCTACATCTAGATGTAGTTGGCAGCATTTCTTGAAATGAAGACTGAAAGACAGACTGTAATTTGATTTACAGGGTTCACAGATGGGAGTTTGGTTTCTAACACAATGACCTCAGCTGAACTGTGTTTTCCCCCACAGCTCCGAGTTTTGGACAAGCTCATGGCTGAGCGACTGTCAGCAGAGAGGACAGAGTGCCTTCACCGCCTGCAGCAGCACACGGAGCTGGAAAAGAGTGAGGGGGAGAAGCGGCAGGTAGGTCTTGAAACAGCTACTCCCTCTTGGTCCATCCCCTAGTACGTCAGTTCAGTTTCATTCCAGCAGGCAGAGAATATCAGAGATGTGTCACATCTGTTAAAACAGGTAAAATAGCTTCAAAGACCAAATTATTCCTACCCACCATCTTAGTCACTAAACCAAATTTATGAAGTTTTTGCATTAGAAATGAGGAACGTGAAATCCAGTCCCACTGCTGTAGTTTAATTTGGTGCATCTCTAGTGTAGGTTCTACAACAAAATACCATTTTTCTAATATAGTGATTTGCAAAAATTTCTAGCACTAAATTTTTCACAGTTGTGCTTTTAGCTTTTGCTTCATTAGAGGACATATGCAGAAACATACTCAAATGGTAAAAACAGCTAAGATCTGTGTTGCTCCTTTTCCTTCTCATCCGTTTGGTTGTGGGCCCTGGGAATCTCTCCCTTCTTCTCTTTCTGATCTTTTCTTCCCCCCCATGTATTAAAAGACTGAAGTTCTTTCCTCTGATGTTAGCAACATGGCACCATCTCCAAACTGTGTATTGCTGCCAGTAGGAAAGTTCTTTTTTATATGCTTGTTCAACCAGCAGTACAAGAAAAACTGCTCCCACAGAGATCCAGCTCTTGCCTTTCCAGCTTCTGCAAAAACTCACCATTTAAAACCTGCTGATAAATTTGTGTTTCTCCACTCATACAGATGAATTTAAAATACAGTTCATTTTCTCATTATTGGTATTCTTCCAAGAATTGAGAAATACACTTTGTGCTAGTAAAATGTCATGAGTGTTTGTAAGACCATTCCAAATCCAGGTAAAAAGACTGACAGCTGAGATAATCCCTGCATAGGATACTGATCAAGATACTTGGGTCTAATGTCCCCCAAACACTATTCTCCAAAGAAAAGTACTTACCAAACTAAGGCAGCTTTGATTTTTATTTTATAAGAGATGTTAAGTCTTGTATTGGCTTCTGAACATCTAGGCTTATGTTCCATCTCCTTGTAATCTCCATTTAAGACACAAGATGCTGGAGTGATACATCAGTGAACTGAATTAAGTGATGTCAACTGTTCCTGCTCATGGGTCTAATTGAAACATCTGAAAAAACAGAATTGGGCTGACTTTTATCCTGGTGCCTAGGAGGGCCTGACCAAAGTTAATGATGTCATATGAACAACAGGGTGAAAAGAGCTACTCCTATTTTAAATTATTTAAATGCATATGCAGTCGACACTTGCTAAGCATCTGTGTAATCTGAAAGCTGTTACTGATTTATCATTTAGTGGGGGACTCACCTCTATGACTGAAAGAACAGAGAAAGAAGAGGATGGTAATTATAGAAATAAAATAAAGCTGTTCCCCAGAAGTGTCTAATTTGAATTTCACTCTTAAAAAATGACCATGTAGTGTTCTTTGCACTTAGAAAGCACCATTGACTGTATGATTAAACAAGTCATCCCTGATAGAGTAAGCAGAGTTTAATTGGAAGTAGCATATTCGAATCTAAGAGGTGGTAGCTTGGACTAAAGAGACTGCCTTTCATAAGATAGTGCATAGTTCTCCACCTTTTTTGATCTGCAGTCCTTTAAATATTCCCAGTGGCAGCATGCACATCTGTACAGGGAGTCTAAGCCCACAGATACCCAGCTTGCTTCTCTTTGTCCCTGCCACATGTGCTCAGCAGCCCAGGAACCATACGATCTCATAATAGGATTATGTAATTTACAGTCTCTTTCTGATAGATTTCCTTGGTTGATGAGCTGAAGACCTGGTGCTTGTTGAAGATTCAGAATCTGGAGCTCAAGCTTTCTGGAGATTCCAGGTCATCAAGACCTAAATCAACTTTGTCCACTTGCGAGTCTCTCACTGAGACCCTGGATACTGACAACAACCCCAACAGTGCCAAGGACTGTAAAGCCAACCAGCCTGTGCTGCAGTCAGAGGGCTCCCACCAGCATTCCTATATCACACTTCCAAATAGCCTCTTGGAAGATGGGGGAAGGAGCAGAGTCCAGATGCCAGAACAAAGCTTTGGGCAACACTTTTGCATTAAACAAGATGGAGCATTGGGTACAACCACATCAGGTACTTAGCTGTCATATCCCTTCAAGGGCGAGCTCATTAACTGAGGGGTACTTGTATTACTAATACTACATAATTCTGGTGGTGTGCTTTTCCCCCTCCATATGCCTAATGTCTTGGGTTTTGAATATACCTCAAGGCAGCCACTGGGAATATTTTAAGAGGTGGCTGGGTGGAATTCCACTGACTATTCCTGATGCTTCTACTATGTCTTGGAAGCAAATGTCCTGGGGTGCATTGACTAACTCTTAAGCTTGGAAGCTTTCAAAGAAAAAGAAAAATGTGCAGAATGGCCAGGTGTTCACAGCCAAGTACAATGCTACCTGAGCCCTGGCTTCTGTAAAATACTATCTATATATCCCCTGAACACTATGCAAAGTGAACAGGCATGGATACCCCATCAAATAGAAAGGCATATGAGAGATCTTGTGGTGCTTGAGTGTGAGCTATTGTGCATTGGAACAGTTCAAAAGCATAGAAATGTGTGACCTTTCCAAAATTGCTGGGACTTCAAGTTTTGTAGAAGCAGGGAGTTCATAAATATCAGCAGATATAACCTACTTTGGAAATCTAGACTGACAGTTGTTACATGTCCTTCTGATGAAGTCACAGAATCACAGAATGGTTTGGATTGAAAGGGACCCTAAAGATCATCTTGTTCCAACCCCCCTGCCATGAGTAGGGACACTTTCCACTGCACCAGGTTGCTCAGAGCCACATCCAGCCTGGCCTTGCACACTTCTGAGAATGGGGCAACCACAACTTCTCTGGATAACCTGTGCCAGTGCCTCACAGTGAAGAATTTTTGGCTAATATTTATGTCCTTTTTCTGTTGTCCATCTGGCCCCACAGCTGCAATGCAGCACCTCTCTGCCTGGGCCAGTTTTTCTCCTTTAATGACTTTCTATTACATCACTTGACTTTGAAGATGCGATAAACTACTATAAGCCTGTAGAAGGTACACACAAAACCCCATCATTCATCAAACAGTGAGGTCTTCTGAGTGCTAAAATAAGTGCCCAGAGCTTTTCTTAATATGCTGTCTATAATTTGTTCTATAGGTACAGAGCAACAGGTAGTGGCTGGTGGACCAGTTTCTTCTTCTGCCCCTGCTCAAGATGTTAGGCCAAAGGACAAAGCTGTGAGTGCCAGCACGTTCCACAGGTTCCAGCAGGATCTGCCCTGCTCTGAGCTTTCGGGCTCCAAATTAAGACATGTTAAAGTTCAAGCTGCTTTGCAGCCAGGGACTGAACCTGCAAAGACAGAACTACAGAGCGGCTGCTTCATTGACAAAGGAACTCAGACGAAAAGGTCCAGCAGAAGCGGGCAGTCACGGCACAAAGCTCTGCACCATGCTGGGGCACAGCAGGGCCAGGAGCAGCAGCCCTCAGCCCTGCCTGCCCCTCCGCTCAGAGACACCTCCCAGGCCCTGGAGATAACCCAGTACTTCTTTGAGGCCGTTTCCACGCAGATGGAGAAGTGGTACGAGCGGAAGATAGAAGAAGCCAGGTGCCAAGCAAACCAGAGAGCGCAGCAGGACAAAGCTGCGCTCAAGGAGCACATCAAATGCTTAGAAGAGGAGCTGAGCAAATTAAGGACTAAAGTGCAGAAAGAGAGCTAGCACCTGCCAGGCAGCTAACCGAGCAACAGGACTCACTGTGCAACCTGCTGTATGGGAATTTGGAATATAGATATTTGTAGTGCCTGTTTCATCCAAACACAACACTCTATTTCAGGAGTAGAAATAACTTTGGAAACTCCATAACTGAGGAAAGTTCATATGCAAACTATATTGATAACAAAAAGATGCTGCAGATTAGATCCTTTCTTTGTTATTTCCAAGAGTCTGTCAATATTGCACTCTCAGTTTCCAGATGCTGCTTGAAACCAAACTGCATTAGTAACCAAAACTGTATTCTGAAAAGGGAATTCCCTTACTTCCACACAGGACAGACTAGAGGGTTCTACTATATGCCACATGTAAACACGTAGTGTTACCAGTACTGAAATAAATCCAAGATATTTGAAAGTTTTTGACAGAATTACTTAGTGATGAAGGGCTATTGATCCTATTTTAGCTACTCCCAGTGTGTCTCTCTAGTCAGTGGAGAGAAGCTAAAGAACCCACTCCAGTTACAAGCCCAGGTAGCTGACAGATGCAAGCTTCTAGCTGGGAGAGGGCAGGCAACCATGAAGGGAGGTGCTAAGGTAAATCATCCTATTAGGTACAGAGGCTTCAGCTACCACTTTGCCTTTCTGTTGGTTTTCCATTATTAAAACAAGTGCTAAATTTGATTTGTCTTTTTTTTTTTTTTTTTTTTTTTAATTTTTTTTTTTTTTTTTTTTTTTTTTTTTTTTTTTTTAATGGTGTCCTGTTTGCAGAGTTCCTTGTGGTTACAGTGTTGTTGGGACTCTACTCCAGTAATCTGAGAAATCTTGTTTTGGATGGCAAGTATTTTACTGTAACTGTGGTCTATTCTTTAGGTTGAATGTTTATATAAATATTTTTTCCTTCAAGCAGGAAATGGCTAATAGTGTCCTATTGAAGAAGCTTGAAAAAGTCCTTTATCTAAGAAAGTGAAAGCTTGGCTCCCTGTATTCAAATTTTATTTTTCTGCAGTCAGGATTTTTGCCCAGACTGCTTACCTTTTTTCCTCTGAATGATTCGTCCTCTGTTTTTTTTCCCTTCTGTCTCTAAAAAGGAGACCAGGCCCTGATAAGTCTACAGGTTTTAGGACAAACAGTCCCACAAAACAGCACTCAACATTTTAAAGTTTTATTATTGTGTTTTGTTATAAAATCAGAACTTTCATTGACCAATGCTGTCCATGCTGACAGACTCCAAAAAATCTCAAGGCACTATAACTATTGCCTTTGCACCCCTTTAGGGTTTCCTCCTTACACGTCTGAGAAGGCTCCATCACATTCTGCTAGAAATGTAAGTTTACTTACCAGATCATGATAGAACAACTGTTCAAAATTAGTTCCAACACAGGATGGTACTGTTATGCCAAGGAGAAAAATACTTTTTTTTTTGTACTAAGGAGCTCTGAAATCAATACTGAAGAATGTCATTCACTAATTAGTAATTAAACTTTTGTCTTCTTAGCAGATGTATAAAGCAAAAGAAGTCATATTATACAACAATATTTTTAACGTTGCTATTAATGCACTATCACAAGAAGAGAAGTGTATCTGTGGCTTTGGAAATACTAGTTTTCTTGCCCTGACTTCTGTAGTCTAGTGTAGACACTTCGGTATGTTTACAGTTCTGTTTAAGCTACAGTAGGAATGCAGAAGCATGCTATTGAAAATTTGTATCACCTGGCTGAAGCTAATGTTTTGCCAAGCAATTAAAGTAAGTGTTGCTCAGAAATGTGTGGTGTAACATTTTCTAGCCACAGAAAATTCACAGTCCCCTCAGTTGACACTGAAGGGGGAGCAGAAGATTGGACTTCAACTTCTAAGCTTTTTGTTTGTGGTTATAAAACACAAAAATGAGTCTGCCGTCTTGCAGAGGGAGGCTGCAGGGATTAAGTGCTGTCTGTTGGCTGGTGCTGGTACCCCTTTCAGAAGTTACAGGCGCAGGGCTGAGCTGAGCACAGATCAGACACAGGCTCCTGAGCTTGCCCAAGCCCCAGGGAGAGGCTGTGGCTTTAGCTCTACTTCCCATACAGACCACACTGGACCACACTCATAAGTCCAAGTAACTAACTAAATCCAAGTAATTACCAAGTAATCTAAGGCAGTAACCAGGCAGCAGGTTACTGATTTTAGAGGTTCTCTGAAGCCAGTGAGTGTATGGTAAAAGAAAGAGAAGCATTTCCTGCTGATTCCTTTCTATACCGCGCCCTTCTTCAAAACTGTGAAGGACTTTATAAAACAGGTGTGATCTACCTACCTGTCTCTTCAGGTAACTTTATTTACCCTTGCAGGCTGTACTTGGACTCTTTAAGGCTTCTGGCTGGCAATTTTTTACTTGGCAAGCACACAGAGCGGTGGAGATGTAGGGCAGCAGCACTCAAGAGGTCAGCATCTGTCCAGAGCCCTGCCTGTCAATCCTACCTCTGGATTACATGCCCACAACCTGGAAATGTATAAACTGGGAGTCAGAGGGGTAATGCAGGCTCAGGGCTCCAAAAGGAAAGCACCATCGTGAGGCAGCAGGGTAAAGCCTCCTAAATAAGGAACAGAAATCCAAGCACTGGCTGAAGGGGAAGGGAAGCCTACTGTGGTAATGGCCAACACTGGTTATGGCTGTTCAATTAAAATACCTTTGTAAGCAGCACTTTCTCTTAACACGAAAAATAAATCCCCAACACAAAAGTGTTCTGTCAGTCTGTTCTACCAGAAAATGTTAATAAAATGTAAATTTTTAATGGAGCATTTTTAGATATGTATTTTTCCTACTGACTGAAGCTCAGAGGCTTCAGTCTATACAGATCTGAGCCATAACTCCTGCTCTCAACTGGGGCATTCCTCCTGTAGCCTGAAATTCTGTCCTGTCCCTTCCCTGGTGCCAGTGGTGATACCTATTTACCTGATATGCTGCCAGTTTGTGCAACTCAGCCCCTCTGCAGAAAACCACCTTGAAACAGGGATGCTCCCCAAGGGAACTACAATAGCAGAGTGGGAGAGGGAGTAGTTCCTGCATGTCTTGGAATCACAACCTAAAACAATCAGGCATTGATCTACTGCTGCCTGTCTAGCTATGTGGAGAAAATCCCCAGCTCATGCAGGCATTTTTAAATTATATGGAAAAAAAATATATACTACAGCTTAAGGAAAGTGAGAACTGTTGCAAGCTAACAATTAGAAGTAGTATAACATTTGACTAAACAAACCAGAACTTTTGCAGTTCGTATTTTCTACCTGTAATTCTTCTTTATATATTGACTTTTAAATACTAGTTTGAAGGTACTTCGTAATAAACATCTCTGGGGCTAAAATCTCCCATTTTCATAACTAAAGGCCTCCCCTTTTACGTTTAATTCAGCTACTACTGAAAAGTAACATCTACATACAAACCATTTTTTTAATGTTTGTTTGTTCTGCACCAATTTATTTATCCCAAATTCTTTTTTTAATCACGAATTTCAGTGAAAATCCCTGGCACAGTACATGAAGAGCTGTCATTGTGAATATTAACAATTTCAGCTACCACAGACAAAATAATCTGGCATATATTTATTTTTCATTGCACTGGCATTAACACAGCTGTCGTAATTTTTGGTGCTTTCTGCTTTTCCTGCAGCACATGCTACATCATCCATGCAGTTCTTTAATGTCCTTTGTGTCCAAGTGATTTCCACTTCTGAGGGTAGCAAAACTGAGAAATTGATGGGGAAGGGGAAAAAATAAAACTCCCGCTGTGAAAGATTCCTCCTTCAAACATTACTAGCAAAGCCTGCCATTTTAACCACATTCTGGAAAAAACACTGTGTCTATTTGCAATAGATAAAAATTAAACTGTCAATAAAATGATGATCATGATTTTGCCAGCTTAAGTGTTCTCTGAAGTTCCTGAAGTTGCATGTTGCCTTGAGTAATCATCATCCTGATTGCATCCTGTAAAACAGATTGGAATCTAGTGAACTGTATGTCTGTACACAGCGTGGGTTTTACACAAGCATGCAGACTATTAATGCATTAAAATACACACAACTCTTACTGGCACTACTGTCATTTACTTCTAACCTAACACTGCTGTCTCTGAAATGGTTAAAAACCAGGTCAATAAATGGATTAATTTTCTCCAGTTCTGCAACAATGTACTTGGTTGTGGCTTTTGTTTAAAACTCAGTTTTTAATAGGATTCAAACCCCTAATGTTTGCTTTATGCCTGTGTATGTACTGCCTTTGCAAGCCAGTAGTGAGAACAGCACACAAGCATTATGGAGATGGGTTTTACACAGCAGGTGTGGGTTTCTCTCAACACTGTCTAAGGGCTCTAAGGCTTTGTCTGCATAGCTCAGCCACCAATTCCTTGGGCGCTGGCTAGAAAAGGGAATGAACTAGGAAGCAGACAACAGGAGATGTACAAGAAATGTGAAGGTTTCTGCATTTCACACTGGCTTCACATCCTTAACCATCCCACCTGATTGTATGGTGGTTAAATATAAGTGAAATTAAAGCAAAATAAAAAGCTATAAAAAGCTTAACTGTTATTAAGTTTGTGTAAGTTACCATATATACACATGGTTTTCCTAATCTGTGATTTGACTGAGTATTTATTGTTTAGGTTTTTAATTCCAGATTATTCTCTGGAAATTTGAGAAACATTACTATTGCTAAGAGAGGGAATAATGTTTAGAGATGCTGGATTATTTCTTCGCATAAATGAGGAAACAGTAACCAGGCACTTTTCACCCGTCTGGAAGCTACACCTATAAAACAAACCGCCAGGACACAGGACAGGACAGTGCAGCGACCTGCCCGAGGGCAGGCGATCAGATGCGGATTCCCAATCCTCACCTCTTCTGTGGCATCCTTATTTCTCTTGAATTCCTCCCTGGCCCAGTCCTTTAAGTAGCGGCGATCCTGCTCAGCAGGGACGTCCCGGATGGCGCGCAGGATCTTGCGGTACAGCTGAAGGACCTGCTGCCGCCTCAGGAACTGGCGAGGAGAGAGCCAAGTCTGCCCGCTGCCCCAGCACAGCGAGCCGCGCCCTCGGCGCTTTGCTTCGAGGGGTATTTAAACAGCCACCGATCGCTCCTGCAGAACGCGGCCTGCCGAGCCCCCGCGCCCGCCCGTACCTGCCTGAGGGTGAGCGCGCCCGGCGGGAGCCGCGCGGCCGCCATGACGCGCCTGCGCCCCTGCCCCGCACGGGGCCGCCGGGCCCGCCCCGCGCGGGCGGCGCCAGGCCGCCATCTCCCGCCTCGGCGCGGCCGCGCCAGCTCGACCGACCCCAGGCGCAGGCGGCGGAGCTACAAAGAGCGGTACCTCTCTTTATTAGAACAGACGGTACAAGATGCATAGCCTCTGCAATGAAAAATCACGTCCGTGCTCCAAGACACCGGATTTATTAAACATCCCCAACGCCTGCCTCGGACAGGGGCAAACTTCACAGTGTAAAGTGGTAAGGCTGGGATCAGTACTTTTTTTTTTTTTTTTTGGTTGAGTAAAACCATCTGCCTCTCCTGCTCACCACTCTTTCCTTCCCAGAGGCACCTCCACACGGGTGATGCTGAAAAGTCTTATTTGCAAGACACTTCAACTTCTAATGCATAAATGCCTTCCCAGGAACAAACCTGGTTTTACTTATGGCAGGGAGGGAGAGACAGGAATAGTATTACCTCTATTTTTTTTTAATAGGTAATAAGTTATTAGAAGAGAAGTTGAGACAAGCTTTAAGTTTCTTGTGGGAATAGCAGGAGACAGCCTCACCATTGCATAACTGTCCTCTGACAAAAGTGGGAGGATGCACCCAAACCATTGTTCTTACACAGTCTCTGCCCCTGGGCAGCTCCTGAAGGATAATTCCAGTTCGGAAGAGCTTTATGACCCCTCCCATGAAATGCAGTTTCTTTGTATTTCAGCACTTCAGCAGCAGCAATCGGGTCCTGACCTTGTCTACAAAGTCTAAAGAGTGTCAGAGGCAGTCACCAGCTCAAACCACTGTCTGAGGGCATCGCTCAGAGTTTCTGGGAGCGCGTTCACATCTCTAAGGATCATGTAGAACGGGAATGGGAATTCTTCCATGTAAGATCTGATTTCAGGCAATTCTCCAGGTCCTTTGAATATAGGTACTTTAATGTCCAAAATAGAATCCTGTAAAAAAAAGTGCTGATGTTACTACTAAATGACACACTATTCTGTGATCACTGATAGAATTTACCCTATTTTCTAAGTACTTGTAATTCTCCCCCATTAGATTAGAAGTTAATAAAATACTTTTAAGATGAAACGCTTCAAGTGTTCAGTGGTAAATCAGAGCAGAAGCTGCATATAAATCAATTAAATGCTTTTGCCCTTTTCGATAGAAGTGTACTAATCCATGAATTATAGGCTAGAAGAGACTAAGCCTAAGCTTCTGCAACACCAAATTCTGTAAATCAATTCTGTCTTTTCTTAGCATTTTATGATTTGAGTTTACTGTTGGCACTTTAGTTTTATTAATTTGATGCCTTCCCAAGAGAGTCTGTAAGCTCTTTAGTGCTGAGTTGAACTCGTATTTGTGTAGTGCTCTAACAGAAGACTCTTTAGCAACTTCACAGTATCTCAACAAATACTACAAAGACAAAAATCAGATTAAACTCCAGCTATGTTTCTTGTAAAATAACTTCTTAGTTAATAAATGTTATGGAAAACACCTTTTTTCCCCAGGAAAAAAAAACCTATGAGAAACACCCAGAATTTTCACTTGACACTACAGCCAGGTTTCATCAGAACCTTTCAGCTGTTTGTCAGCAGGAGAACTGTTAGTTTTTCAACACTAAACATAGCAGATGAGTTTTGCATGCAAAAATAAAGATACAGGAAGAAAACATAAACCACAAAATTAAGAGTCTTTACCACATAATTCTCTATCAGGCTTATGTTTGCTCACTTACTGCACTAAAGAGCCTTCCTGAAACACTCCCATATATTTAAGCTCCCCATTCAATGATATCTTTTCTTCTCCCATTACCAGATGCAGGACTCAGCTTTCCCAACTGAGGCACTAAATAACTCTCACATACTCCCTTCTGTCTAATGTTTAATCTCATACTGGCTCCAGCTGTCATGTCAGTTGGGGACTGCTGTCAGAAATTATCAAGCTGAATCAGAGCTGAGATGGAACAAAGCATCTCTCAAACTCCAAATCTGTCAACCTGCCAGCTGCTTCCCTGGTGGCCAAGAGCTACAAGTATTCCGTTTGAAGACAGAAGCTCTTAGCCTTTCTGTGGCATGGAAGCTGAGATTTTTTTTTTTTAAATACAAAAGATAAAAAGCACAGTAGGAAGAAATGGTAGATCTGACAGACGTGGAAAACTGCATTTGGGTTCAGTATCTCTGACCTCTACAAAAGATAAGGTAGCTGTATGGCACTATAAAAGACAAGAAAAAGATTTGTATCAGTTTCTTATTCACTGCAGTGAATACTTCTCCCTTGTTCACTTACCCGGGAATTAGGGTTGTCCAACACTACAAAAATAACAAAGATATTGGCATTCCGAGCTGCTTGAACTGCTGCTGTCACCCGTTCCTTGCCTTCCAAGAAAAGGCCTCTTCCATCAGATACAATCAAAAGCAGCTGTGCTGTTTCTGAGCACAAAGAACATTTAAAATTCCAGTAAGTTCAGAGTAAAACGTTTAAAAGGCAAAAACCCCTATTTTGCTGTTTGGCCTGTGGGTATAATGGAAAAAGGAGTATTCCTAAGGAAATTAACTCTTGATCAAATAGGATTTTGTCAAGTCAGTCCAGTTAGTCTGAAGTAAACCTTCTGAAACATCAGACATAGCACCCATGCTGGGTTCCTCGGCACCAACTATTTCTGAAGACGTTACTTGACCCAAGTTACACCTAGAGTCAGATATATCCCTCTAGAGGTACATTCTAAGTTATGGATCTGTCATCCCTTAATTACACGTAAAACCACAGTAATTACAGTCAGGAATGTATGCCCCAGTTGTTACAGAGGGATGCAGAACACACTTCTGCAGCCCTGCCCCAAATGTGACAGGGCTTTGTCTTTTTACAGAAAGAGGTGATGGATCCTACAGCCTTTTCTCTTGCCAGCTCCTTAATCCTAAGGAGCCGATTGCTGCTTCATCCCTGGCTAGTTTAACAGAACTGGATGCTGCTCTCAAAATATTGTGACACCCTGGCCACCCTGTGGCAGAACAGCTGTGGATTATAAATCCCAGACTGTCCAGTTCTTGGAGTACTTCAACAACAAGAACTTATAAAAAATACAGGTGCCACCATGACAAGCTTTTAACTATCACATAACAATATTTTAGACTAACTAGGGGCAGACATGAGGCAAGCAGTTTTCCAGCTTTTCTTGGAAGTTCAAGCAGCTCATGACCTAAAGCTGCAGGACAGTGAAGGGCAGGTAGGAGGCAAATTCTGTCCTCAGAGCAGTGTGATTCTGAACGCCTAGAGAACTCAAGCAGGATAAGTGTCTGGAGAGTCATGGTCCTTAGGAAGCTGGACAATGCTCCAAGCTGGCACTGTCTACGCCTTAACACAGTCTGCAATCAGGAGGTAAAGGGAGACACGTAAGATGTGCTTTTTTAAAAAGTCTTACACAAAATTTTAATGAATTATTGACAAATATGAAGTAGGTGTCACCCAAGTTTTGAGCTAAATTTCAACCAAACATTGCTTTTGATAAAGCAAAACCCAAAGCTCTAATGCAAGTGATATTTCAGTCCCAAGAGTCTTCCTGGCAGGATTCTACTTCAGGACTGTAGTGAGCATTCCACTGCCATGGCAACAAGCACAGTAACACAAAAAAACTCACCCGGATTAATATTTTGAGACAACTGCTGTGCTGCAGCAAACATATTTGCTGATGATTCTAGAAACTGCAGAGGAAATAGATAAGAAAATCAAGTTATCTCATCATAAAAATAATAAACTTTAAAATGTAAACATGTCTAAAGAACACCTTTCTCTATTTTAAATGCTAAGTCTGACCACTTAACACAGATACGGTTCTTAGAATTAACTCCTGCTTTAAATTTATTAAGTACTTTTGAACTAAAGAATCTTCAGAGAGCCTTCAAACAGAATTTATTTTTTTCACAATACTAGCAAAGCCATCAACACAGTACACTGCTAACGAGATTAATGGCATCATTGAAAATATACAACCTATTTCTAAGTTGAACTTCTTGAAACAGAAGTATCTAGTTTAATACTTCCCATTAAAATTAAGAACATCAACAATATTTTAGGACTCAATACAGAGAAAGGTGAATGCTTAAAAGTGGTATACAACAGAACTAAAAGTGAGAACACACTCCACGTGTTATAAAACTATGACCATTTTATTTCTTTGTTACCTACCCTGCTATCAGACTCTCAAATACAAAAAACTAGTAAGTGTTACAAAGTGATCATAAAACCATGAAACTGCTGATATCTTGTCTGGAAGAGACTGGCAAACCTGTTGCCCTAGAGGCATTCTTGTGTACCTGGGCTATTTTTGTTTTCTTCTGCTGAAACTTGCAAAGACGCAGTATCCGTGTCCCTGACTGGTCACTGAACTGCTCATGGAACGGGTGCAGCAGCTGAACACTCTCTCCAAAGCTTCAGAAAAAAAGAGAAAATTACAGCATGAAACTGGTATTTACATTCAGCTCTGAAATACTGAAGAAAAGTCAAGATTTCAAATAAACTCACCTACACACAGCAATTTGTCCCACTTCTAGAAGAGTCAGAGCATTTCCAATAACTGCTAGGGATTCATATGCAAGCTATTAAAGAAAAAAGTTGCATCAAAAATAGCATAGTCAGTACTCAAAGCCCAGTATTAAATATGAAGAATTTTACTGAAATTATTTTTCATCATCTAGAAAGATAGTTGAAGAGACTGGCTATCCTTTTGCCTGTCTTATGTAAGATAGTGCAATAAAGAGACATTAGTTCTGCTTGAGGGCTTCAGCTGATTGATTTAGACATACCACTTTAGGTAGGCTAATGAAATAAATAACTGTTCAGAAGGAAACAAACCATTTTAATTAATAAAAACCCTACAAGTGGGCTATGATGAATGGATATTTAGTGCTCCAATGAACTGCTAGATAAGGAAGTTTTGGCCTTTTGTAGACCACAAAAAGTAGTTTTACAGTGGATATGTACATCTCTAACAAACTTAACAGCTCTTCCTTTCAGCTAGGTTTCACTGATATTTTGTGAATAAATCTCTTAGGCATGAAGTGACAAGAGGTCAAGCACATGGACTGGAAAAATAGGTGCTTTGGAATTGGGAGACTTTCCAGCAGCTACCAGCTCTGTATGAAACAAGTTAGCAACTGCGATATGCATCAATGACAGGTGGTTTCTCCGTACTCCTCCCAAGGTTTTATTTTACCTGTTTAGAGTGATTGTCAATCATACTAGAGGAATCATCAATAGCCAGGCAA